AGCTACCTTTTTATAAACATTCTAGCGTATCAAATCAAAACCGTAGGCCATTTGCCCCCTCAAGTTGGTCTATCTGCCATTCTATATGCAAACATTCAGGAAACGTAAAATCTGGACTATTCCCAACCAATACTGCTTGTACTGCATATGGATTCCTCTTTTTGTGGTTACATACTTGGATGTAAGAATCATGGAACACCGAACATGTTTAGGGTGTTTACACCTTAGCGTGAATGCAAATTGCGTTTTCGTCGTTTATCAGCATCCCGACATAGATTCGGTCAGGGCCTCGTTATGATCGCGCGGTCTTCCCGTTCTGAATTGTCCCGTCTTTAGCAAGTGCTACTTCAGAGTTTCAGTTCTGAAAAATAACTACTGAGTCTTATGCAAAAGAATCGCGAGTATGTTTTTCAAACTAACCCGCTGCATTGACACATGCAACCCAGCAGATAAAACTGAGTTATACCAGCCACCGTTAACAGAATCTGAGAAAAATAGCCATTCCATGAAATCATCAAGCAGGCTGCCGTATTTCACTGCTCATCGAGGTAGTTTGTGACAAGTTCAAAGGTCATCATAGGGGAAAACAGCTTCGGATGCACATGACATTCAACCTTTCGCACCTATCACGTCTCTAATTACGACTGACCAAACTGGCTTAGATGACGCTGCGAACTGTATAAACATTGTGCCGACTTGTGACGGTAGATCTAGAGTTTGGCCCGCTCTTTTCAACTGATAGGAAACGAGTGCTGAAGGTCCGCAACGCACCCCAATGCCTTGACGGAATGTGTCAGTAAGGTTTTATTTTGCTCCCCCTTTGACACTTCCGGTGCGCAGTGGCGTCGGATCAGTGGCTGTGACACTGCACTAGTGGGACAGACGGTAAAAACCTGTCCAGACCCCAGTAGCCGCTTTTCTTGGATGATCTGCATGTGGTCACGGCGAGTGCGGACTTCTTTATTTGGGACCGGGCCGATTTACTGCACTTTAACTATGGCTGTCAACAACGCTCGTCGGCCACTTCCACTTTTCGCCCATCTTCCAAGCACGCAGCCCATAATTCACAGTCGTACAGGAAGACTGGCCAGACGGATGTCCTGTACGTGTGAGTCATTGTTGTAACGGCGATACCATCTCGAGTGCACAAGTGCATTTTTAGAATCGCAACAACCCAGCGAGCAGTATTGACTCGGAAGTCGACCTCATCCGCAGTGTTATTTTAACACCAAATCCTTCCCGACGTGTTCAAAACTCTACTTCTCCAACCTTACAGCCAGTAATCCCGACGGGTGCCTCCTTGGTCCGAAACATCGTTCAAAGACACCGGTTGGTCCTGCTTTGGTTAATAAGCCGATTGCTCTAACGACCTCGCTCATGTGAGACGTAACACTACAGGTCAGCATAGCTTGATGTTAGTAAAGCAATATCGTCAGCGTGATCAAGGACAGTCAGCTGACGTCCTACCACAAATGCTACCCGTCAAGCTCACAGTGCTCCCAAGAATCCAATCAATGATATCCTCAAGCAGAATGGACGACGGGCTACAATCTTTTCTAACGCTAGGCTAATGTTAGGTAGTGTCCTTAGGTACCAGAACTCGCATAGTGGTGGGACGATAGAAGGCGCTGATCGTTTCGATGGTTCTGGTGGCATGCCTCTTTTCTCAATTATTCGTCACAGGAACTTACTATGATTGAAGTTGAAGGGTGTAACGAAGTCAAAAAAGCAAACGGCTTGTTGTTTGTTGTTGGATATATGCCACAGTTTAAATACCTGGCCTGTGCATCCGAGTCCGGCTAGGAACCCGATTCATCAGGTTTTCCGACCTATCTGAGCGTTTTTTGTTGCCAAACATACGTAATTCATGGACGCAGAGGTCACACGACAATGGATAAACTGATGAGGGAAAAAACTTCGCCACAGAGAGAACTTTTCGACTTCATCTGACTGGATCCTTGCCTCACCAGCCCGCTCGTAGGCGAGACAGTTGTTTTGGAAGCCTACTTACTCCTGTAAACTTCGGGCCACATTTCTGAGTTCCAGCAGTTCCAAACCTGCCTTTACTTGGGCTAATGGACATCACTAGGAACTTGAACTAATGAGGCGATTTCTATTCTCTAATCCCTTTAGAACGTTCTGCTCTCAAGTGAAAACGCCCTGGGCAACCAGTTTGGGAGGCTATATTTTCCACATTTAATGTTAGCATATCTCCATCCTGTTTAACCTCCTTATGCGTTCAGACGACGTACACTCCGCATGTTCTTTGCGTTATTTATTTGATGGTTTGAAATCCTACCCATCCCTATGCTCGAATTCGAATGATCATTAAATTTTTTTGTCTCAAAGGTTGCTTTTTTCCCGTAACCCGCAGACCTTAATCATTGAAGATTTCAGTGCTCGGTTTTCGTCGAATAGTGGTGTGAATTATTTTGATGCTAGTCACTTCTTTTTCAAGGACTACCTCTGTTCTAGAATTTGAATTTACACCTTTTGAGTAAGGGAGTACACGTTGTAGGACATCCATTTTAGGCGAGTGCTTGTGTAGTCTACGCTTTCACGTTTTAAACACTAGCGCTTTTAGGCCTCCAACCAGATGATAGTTCGACCGTCAAATCCGACGATGTCCACCATGTGCTTCACAGCAAGGTGAAGCAGACACGGTTACTTGCGCGTGAACTAGTTCATAGTGAGAGCAGACTTGCGACACGCCTACCGCGCTCTCCCTGCCTGGACCCCGTGTCAAGAGGACCGGAGGCAGGGAGTGCGCCGGCGGATGGCACGGCCGAGCCGGCACCTTGGCGCTCTACCCCACACCCCCTGGTCCGTAGAAAACACTTTTCCAGGTTTTTTGACCAACAACAGCGGGTTAGAAAGAGGAGAGCGACTGGGCAGTCATGCTCACGACCTGTATACCCCGCGAGAGCGCAAGGGCATCTACCGCCAGATGATAAGATACTGGTGAACTGTCAGAACACACCAGGTCGCGAGGGCCATGGTTTGCTGATCATGCCATAGCAGACACCCGCAAACCTGGAGGCATTTACCAGATAAAGGCATCTGAACGCACACTCGTCCTTGTATGTGAACTCACCTGAACATGGCTTCTGAAATCCAATGGTCCAACAATGTGTTCGCATATGCCATGATCTCGAACTGGCGTGAGTTACCAGTAAGAGCAAAATAATGGTGGCCGACGCTAGCATATTCACAGATCACGTCATCAATGTTGCATTCTTTCACCTTGGGTTAAATAATTTGTTACCAAACGTAATGCATCTCAATATGTCTTTCATGCACAAAATGAACTAGTTGTGCCAACTCCAAGGTTTAGATGTCGACAATTATCCCTTGTAAAGCGCTTACAGCTCATTTGGGGATGCGCTATGTGCGTCTGCATTTTGACCCAAAACTTCATTCTATGGGTTTGTTTCTTCCGAGCCCTTGTATGGTCGTCCCGACCCAGTCTTACTGCCGTGTCCAGACGGGTGAGGGAAGAGGGACTGCGGCAGATGCTGCGCAAGTCTACTTTCACTATCTGTTAATTCACGCTTAAGTCAACGTCCTGCACTCACCATGCTCTGGGGAACGCAGTGAGCGTTGTCATTCGCTGCAGTCAAACTGACATGTCTGCTTCCTCTTGCATAGCATAATGCTGGATCCGTATCTTTTTCATTTTTACACGAGGCCTCCTTTTGTAACTGAACACCGCGCTGTCACACCAGGTCGTAGGGTGCGCATTACGGATCCGAAATATGGCGATTTTACTGCAGTAACGAAATAAGCCTCTACAGGCACACAAAGCACCGTTCCAGTTAGGCAGAAATACAGTCGAACTAGTCCCTAAAGTACTAATTGAAGATGACGTTGCCTGGCCCATCTTCCGCATTTGGTCATGCCATCTCGATTATAATGCGCAGTAAAACAGCATCTGCTGCTTTGGGCAAAATCCTTCGTGATATCATCCTTTGTTCGAACCCGACTCTGACTGGCGACAGCTTCGAGTTGACCAGCTGAGGAGGTAAATTGACTTGCCAAAAACTGATTGCCAGTTCTTCCCTTGACCGTACCGTCTGATGCTAACTTATCAGTTGGTTTGTCGTCGTCGCGAACAGCCTCCATGAAGGGCGTTTATTCGTGGTTCCAAAAACGTACAACGTGGAACCGGCTGGGTCAGTCGTGATGAACGACTTAACGATCACTCAGTTAAACGGACTTTTATAGGTTTCGAAATCTTGGGCATGTTAGTCTTCTAACTGCTTGGTTCCTGCTTATTATTTCATTGGGAACAGAAAAGATCCTAGTCACTATGAGGAAATCCTTATTCCTTCACCATTACTCCATTTTCACTTCACGCAATTTAAAGAAATACTTGCCAAAAGTTGACTTCTCCCACGTCATCACGCAATGCCGCATTAGGGTCCGGTTTCCCTTCTTTGGCTTTTAAAGATTCGGCCGTTTCATGAGACGACATCTATGCCCCCGAAACATAAAACTAGCCTTCTAATCAGTCGCATATCTTTCCAAACTTTCTCTTATTTCATTATTATTTTATACCCTTTAGATCCCACTACGCTGACCCACACGTTCATCCCCGATTTCCTCCAAATTCCCTTGGTCAGATGTTGCATCGGCCTTTAAGCCGTCATTTCGCCCGTCGACCTTTGTCTTCTGTTAACTGCCGGTTCGCGGGCTATAGGTCATCTTTGAACAATCCAGTTTTTCCCTTCGCAATTTCTTTATCGTCGCAAAAACAGTCCCGGTCTTTGCTTCCCTTCACCGGAAGTGGGCGCAACGAGCAGTTCATTCTTCATGATGGACCTCCTTACGCTAATGGTGAAATCCACCTTGGACATGCTCTTAACAAGGTAAGGCAGATATTTCTCATACTCCACTAGATTCTTAAAGATATAACCGTTCGTTTCGAGAAGTTACGGGGCAAAGACTGTTCTTTCATTCCTGGCTGGGATTGTCATGGCCTGCCGATTGAGCTATCTGCTATGAGTGCAGACTTGTCCCTTCCACCCAACCAGATTCGATCTGCATGTATACCTTCTCCTTGAACTTACTTCAAACAATTTGCAGCTTTGGCTTGGGCGACCAAATGCATGCAGTCTCAACTGTCGGCCTTCGAAGAATTCAACCTCCTTGTTGATTGGTCTTCTGTGTATTCAACGCTTTGTCCATCATATCAGTCGGTCGTTTTAAAGACTTTTAGAGATCTCTGGCTTAAGGTATGTCCGTCCGGACGGCTTATTTTTCTTGTTTGCAGGGCCATATTGTCCGAGAGCTGAAGCCGGTTTACTGGTCTTCTCGAACAAAGTAAGCTCTCGTTTACTAGATTTTTTGGCATTTGTATAGCTCTGCGATTTCAGAATCAGAACTCGAATACAATCAGGAACACGAGAGTGTTTCTGTCTATTTTTTAGTTAAGCTCCATGGTTCATTGCCGTTCACACCAGGTTTGTTTCGGAGGCGTACTTTATTCCTGCTAGAAAAGTTCCGTTTGTATCCTACATTTATCGTCGTCTGGACAACAACCCCTTGGACAATTGTTGCCAATGAGACAATTGTTTTCAATCCCTCAGAAAGGTACTGACACTGGCCTTGCTTAATGTTTTTTCGTAGGTATTCAGTCCTTCTAGATGAACCAAATAAGCGCCTACTTGTGGTCAGGGACTCTTCTGTCGACTCACTTAACAGTCTTGGTGGCCGTGGACCCTACCGCAGGATTTCTGACTTACCTTCGGGTATTTCCTGAGCGAATTTATTATCTAACTTACAGGAGCCGTTCTTCAGGGTTGCACTTATACTCATCCCATTCGTAGCTCCTCCGGCAAATATTTTCTTAGGGCTGCTGACTTTGTGGTCAATAAGGGAACGGGTTTTGTCCATATCGCACCAGCCCACGGTCGGGAGGATTTTGACTTCGCAAAACGCCACAACCTACCTCTTGTAATACCTACCGCATTTTACTCCACGTTTAAGTATATTTAATTCTTCCTCTTAACCAATTTTCTTCTGTTTCCTAGAAGAACTATGTTGATGAAGAGGCACGCTTTACTGCTGATGCAGGTCAAAAGCTGGCCGGCCTATCAGTCCAACAGGAGGGGACATCCGCTAGTCAGTCTCTCTTCTTAACTCTTACTATCAAACCTTGTTTCTTTAACTCCGCCTTTCCTTTCGTCCCCTCGTGTGTCCTGGTTTTAGGTGAACGGAATTTCCAAGTCTTGTTTGATCGTTATATTGCAGAGACGTTTTTAGCTTACTGTCCTTCCTGGTCGGCTTGCTTGTCAAATATCACTCCGTGAAGTAGTCTTTGCTTGTTGTCGTCGTCGTGGCTTCTGACTTCCGCCGTGCTCACTGATTTATATACATATTTTTGACAAATATTGAATGTGGAAACATGCCCACCTCTTTACTGTTAATGAAGCTCGGTTCGTGCATCTGGTTGGCATCAAGCAGTTCTATCGAGCTTTGTCATTGAAACCTTTACAGAAGTAGGCGGTAGCTCCAAGTAAACAGCAAATTGAGGTCTGATCCATTCAAATTTTTGAGGTTGCACTTGGCTTTTGACAGATGGGCTTCTTGCGATATCTTCTGCGGGCAAAATTTTCTTTTATCGCAAGGAGTCAAGCCCAACCTCTTGTACTTTACACTGACGTTTCGCAGCCGCATGTGGCAACCTTATTGTATCTGTGGTGTGGCGTGTGGGCTCTTAGGGCAGCGCTTGCTTGTTTAAGTCTGTTCCCAATAATGGTAGATAAAACGAATCACGGTTTTTTTAGAGGCAGTAGAAGGTCACCACCACATATGTGTCAAAACAGCATGCAAAACTTCCGACAATAGTGTGTTTTCCATCCCAATCTTTTTTCTGTTGTTCCTGATTGAGTGGTTGAGCACTAGTTCTATAGGATTGTTTGCGCAATACTAATCGGGCTTTCTTGAATTATTTGTAGTGAAATGTATACTCTATCGACCTATGATCATTGCTCCCATATCTTTTTCTTTTTCAGTCATAAAACTGTTGGGCGAGCAAGCTTTAACCACAGAGAAAGTCCGACACAGCTTTCCATACGAATGGCGCACAAAAAGACCTGTTATTACCCGCCTCTCAGAGCAGTGGTTTATTGACACCAACAAGCTGTGCGAACCGGCTAAAGTACGTCCAATTATATCCTCTTCAGATCTGTTTTCGTTTTCTAGGCGGCGTATGCAAATGTTAAGGTTTTCCCACCAGATCTCAAGTCCAGCATGATGCCCTTTATCGAAAATCGACCCTTTTGGTGTATTTCTCGGCAACGCATCTGGGGAGTTCCCATCCCTGTCCTTTACCGAAAAGATACTCTGTCGCCTATTGTCGATCCGTACGTGCAACATAACCCTTCTGGTTTTATCCGTGTTTTCAGCCCCAGCCAACTCATTCAGCACCAGACTGATTCCCCCGGTTTATTTGACTACTAACTCGTTAGGCCTAGCATCATCTAACACAAGCATGAAAAGAAGCAGCCTTCTTCCTTTTCGCCCACTCCTATGACTGGTGCATGACTCATTTTCGGTAAACTGAGCATCATTAAGTTGTCAATCGTTGATAGTTTGATCCTACTCTAGTTGCAAGATGTTGGCGATTGGCGCAAGCCCCGTCAAGTTTGGAGCTTTTTAGGTGGCCTAAATTACTCCGAAGGTCCAAGTATTCTTTGGACCAGGAATAAAGTGATAGCAGTTTTTTTCCTGTATCGTGCCTAGGTGAATGATTCTTGGACATGGTATCGTCGGATAGTTTGCACCGTTTGTGAGACCTCCGTGTGTCGTTCTCTCAAACGCTGTTACTTCAAGTCGTAGTTTCAACTGATAGTGCTTGTTTTTATCCTCTTTAGGGAGTTCATTACGAGCGTAGCTGACCGTGTCTCCTCTGAGGGTAGCGAGTTTTGGTGGTCGGAACCCATTGAGGCGGTGGTGTCGAAGTCGTTCTTGCATAAGGTGCGTTTCCATGCGCGCTTATACCTCCAATATCATCAATGGATCTCTTGAAATACATCCTGTTTTCCGATAAGTAAGGTCCTCTGCTTGCTTTCTTAGTGGTCGCTTTCATCGAAGGAAGTTATCAAAGGCACTGACATATTTGATGTATGGTTTGAGAGCGGCCTTTCCTGGAGAGCCGTCCTACCAAAGGACTGTAAGTTCTAAACGTCTTCTGTTGCATGCACATGGTGACCGTTCCGACCACGTCCTCTAGGGCGCTCAACTCTTGTTATTTTCAGGTGTCGCCGACGTTTACCTTGAGGGTTATGATCAGTTTCGTGGGTGGTTTTCCTCCTCACTGCTTCTCAGCGTCGCCCTAACTGGTCGGGCACCCTTTAAGTAAGGCTCCTCTCTCACTTTTCCCCTCATCTTTATATCTGTTATTTTTACTACAAAATTTTATGAGGTCCATAACAGTAAACAGTTTTTTTTTCAACTTTTTGCGATTGGACAATGCTGACATGCTTTACCCCTATATCCTATCCCCATAGGAATTTATCGTTCATTTGTGTGCGCGGGAACCCTGTCACAAACTTCAGAGCTCGCGTAGCCGTGGGTCTTTGTGACCCAATATTGTCTGAATTAATTCCTGATCGACCTTGACAGTCACTAGTTGATGGAAAGGCACTTGCCGTTTATTACTGCATCCGTCTATTACGTCATCATCGTCGCCAAGCAAATATGTTGGTTATTTAGGCTGATCGCTGTCCGCGGCAACAACCCTATGCAAGGTTGTCTGTCGATCTTTGAGTGAAAAAAAAGCGTGTTGGCAAATCAACTTATGCACGTTGTTAGGCGCGCTTAGAGCGCTGTGTCACCAGAGGTGCATGAGTTCTAAAGACTACTTGTTTTCCATCGAAACTGTAGATGGCACATCTTTACCGGAGATCGGTCACAGCAGCCGAAACAACAAACGATGGTCGCCCTAGCTCTCAATACCAAAAAGTGTCAAATACCTGGTCGAACCTGATCGCAGCACGTAGATTTATGGGAGTAATCTGATGCTAGTAGCATAGTTCTGGAAATGTGTAATTAGAAGTCATTGTAACCTTGGTTTAGTGTTGGGCTTACTGGCATAGCGGGAATCCGCGGACATCAGCCTCGGCACCAGTATGCACGACGACAACCTTGCATCTAACTCTCTGGAATTGTGTTGTATATTGCTTGGCCCCGAAAATTAGCTTCAATCTTTATGTCTTGTCGCTTCTTGTCACTGTAGAACTTTAGTTGTTCACGGCTTTACAACGGACGCCGAGGGCCGTAAGATGTCCAAATCACTGGGCAATGTTCTGGCTCCTAAGGACCTCCTAAAGCTAGCTGATAATTGCTCTGATGTCCTACGGCGATGGGCCGCTGCCAGCAGCCTTTCCGCCCACTCGTCTGTCAGCACAGGGGACTTCGTTGCCCACGCTACTTCCTACAAGAAGGTATTGACGATTAAATTTTACTCACTTTTGTTGGCAATTGGCGTCCCAGACAATGTTTTTCTACATTGCAGCTTTTTACCCCGTTTCTGCATCTTTTTATCAGCGATTACTACGTCGAGGCCAATAAAGTAGTAACCGAGATTGTGACATATGTTTCCCGCAAGTAAAAGGTAACAAGCGCAGAAATGCGTTATATGGACACCCATAAAACATAATCTGCATTACTTTATACCCAGCGCCATGCTGACTCTTAGTAGTTTCGACAGCCATCTCTCAGTCGTGCCCAGAAAAACACGGCGCATATGCGTCGTTTACCGTGTTTATAATCAAATTTTCAGCGAATGCGTACCCATGAGTCATATGGACCCTTGCAGCCGCTAAAAAATTTCAATCTCTTTGAGATATTACAATTTAAAGTACTTGCAAGTGTGTTTAAGTAGTTTGTCGACACTAGGGCCATGTGGAAACACTGGTTGATTTTTTGAAGATGTTGAGTCTCCAACACTAGTTATTACGAGCCTATTTTTCTCGTAAACCTTGCGACAGTAGTCATTCAGGAGAAGTGTTAGGAAAAGTAGTTTTGCTGACATCCTGGATTTACTTGTGAATTTTTGGGCGACTAATAATGATTTGCCCGCGGACAAGCCAGGAGGAAAGTGAGATCTGCACTCAGATTTAGTCAGGGATAGCCCACAATTCACACACTGAGGACGCGAGCAAAGTTCAGTCAGCTTGCATTGGGGCTGTGGTAGAGGGCATCTTGGAAACGGGCAGTGTTTTGTACCTCACCCAGTAATTTAAGCCATGAGTATCGCTGGGGTGTTTTCGTAAGCCTTCGTAATACGCCTTGAAGTCGGCGTGACATTTGGCGTTGTCTACTGGCCACGATACATCCTTATGAGTGTGCGGGGAGGCTTGTCGAGGTGCTGCCGACCTTCAGTTATGCACATAAAAGCCGGACGAATAGGGAATCTTATTCACTGACAGACCTTTTATGTTTACCAGCATGTCCGGCATGGATACAAGATAAGCACTCGCATGGGATGCGGTAAATAAAATTTCTCTCTTTTTCGGAATAGTTTCTGTTTCGCGTGGCACCGCCGCCCACAGGGAGACATAAGTTTTTGTGCTATGCTGGCAAATATCCTCCACTGTAGTGAAGTCAAGAGAGATTCTTTGTTAACCCTTTTGAACTTAAACACAAGCTTTTCAGTGAGTTCCTCTTGCAGGCCGGCACTTTATGTATTGGTCAACAGGTCGAACTTTTTCGTAAGTACGGGTATTACAGTCTAATTCGAAATTCTAACTTGAAATTTCTTACCGCATTCTCGCATGCTTCCCCATTCCAAATCCCAAAAGTGCACTTATTTGATGATCGACGGCCTCGAATTTCTCCCGACTGGTGGGCTTCACCCGCGTACTGTATGTTTTAAGATATGTCCCATGGAAATATTTTAAGATCCTAGTAAACTTGCACAATCTAAGCACTTGTTTTTTTTTGAACGTCAGGTATAGCGGCTGTGCAGTTTTGTGTCCTGATGTCTACACAGAAGACGTGCCAGTCATTACTAACTTCCTATAGGGTTCAACCCAACCGGTTCCAATGCCCCTGTTAAGATCAGTCTAAACATCAAAATACGGGCTGAATTGTTTTGTTTCCTCCCACTATTCTTCCATCACTGTGCGACCTCGAGTGTCGTTTGGCTCAACGGACGCCTTGCGTTTCACTGTCCAGTAGCCCATACCATCATGGAGCTGCATAAACTATTTCTACCACCTTTCCATACGTCATCCCCTCCCTTTTCGTAATTTATTTACCCAACCTCTGGCCTGAATCATGCTTTTTTTCTTCACTAGTTGCGCAACGCATTTCGCTTTATGCTTGGGAATTTACATGACTTCACTCCAGATGCTGCCTTCTCCGGAGCAACTGCCGATGATCTATTTCACTTCCTTCTCGACCGCTTCCGTACAAAACCACCTAAGGATTTCTGCATCCTCGACGACATGGCCCTTTGCTTAGTTGGCACTTTCGTGGACGCGTTATTCAATTCCTTGTTTCCCAATTTCAAGTTTGATACCATCATCGCAGAGTCGGATCGATTAGTTTCAAGGCTTTCTGCAACGTACTTCAATTCGGTGAAAGATAGGTGCGCTTTTGTGTTTATTGAATAATATTGCGCACCCGGGTACTCAGTCATACTGTTTTTATTATTATCCCCTGCCTAAAACACCATGGTTATTACCTCTGCGTCCATTGGTGGTCTATCTCTCATTTCTCTCAGTCAACTGTCATGTTTTCTTTCCCTTTTCAACTAACCATAACCTGAGCAACAAAGGAATTGTTCGTTTTCGGGTGAACCAGTTGGTTTTCATGGGAGGTAGTTTTAGCCTTCAGTGCGGCACAGAGGAAGGGAGTGGCGTTCACTAATCCATCATGATTGCGGGGCGGAAGTGGACATTTCTGTTATCCCGCCAGAATGTGCGCTGATAGCCCAGGTTGGAGGGTGTTGGACCGAGGTTAAATTCTTAGACACCCTGTCCTAGGCAGCTAATCAGCCTTGTGTTGTCATTGCGGGGTTCGTCGTCCCTTTCGGCCACGCCTCCCTCTCTGTATTCCCTCACGCGATTTATCCACTGTCGAAATCCGACAACCTGGCTGAAATGACTGCTCCGTAACTTGACCTTTGTGGTACCTCTCACAGATGTAACATCCGCGTCTGCCAAGCCTGACTGATGTGGTTTGATGTACTACCACGCTCGGCACGCGTAAGTAAACGGGGCTGCCCAGTCGGCCATAGCATCCACGCCTACCTCCGGTTGCTTAGACCCTGGCCATTAGAACTAGTTTAATGCGGAAAGAGTGGCTGAGATTGACACTGCACAAGTCTCCGTGCTGCTCTAAATCAATCCACCACCTGCCCCTATGCAGTACTGATTTTAGTTGAGTCTGGCAGACAAACATGGGGCTTATTCTGCAATTATTTTCCTTGCAAACAGCCTGTACTGTGACTCCGCCAAGAGTTCGCGACGCCAACTTGTTCAAACTGTTCTGTGGCTGCTCGTGGAATCCTTGAAGATCTCTCTGGCGCCGATCTTTCCCACTTTGGCGGATGAGGTTGAACTTAGCCAGAAATCCTTGTCTTGCGCAGCCCGGCTCTTTCCTAGCTATGAGACCGACCTTTTGCACAGAATCAGTTGTTCGCGGTCGAATGGACTCTCGCAAGCAGTCGAGCAGTTAAGTGCTTTGAGTAGCTGGGCGTCCCGAGGCACTGAAGTATTGGATGCTGTGTCAATCGCCAACCATCTGCGTCACGAACTCTGCGCACGCCAGCGTCCGGTCGAGTCCGAGCGGCCGCTCTGGCCTGGACCTGCTGCTAGCCCCCTCTCCAGGCTTCACATTTCAATGCAGGTTCATCCTGACGACCCGGCATTGAAAGCTTTGCAGGTTCGCTTATTTTATAGTAAATTTTTTTGTTTGCTGCAATTGTAATACATTTTTTCATCATATCGTCCCCACCATGACGAGAGATAAAAGTACTTAACGGTGATACGAGAGTGATGTTTCACCATGGGTTTACCTTGCAGAGCGTGCTTTTACAAGAGGTGCGTTTTTCAACTCTGTATAGATGCTGTTACCTCAGCCTATTTGCTGAGGTCCGATTGCGATAGACGTCTTTTATCGTACTAGGCGTGTACTTCTCGAGCTATCACGGGTTACCCGCGTGTTGTTTGATTTTCGTTTTTTCCCTGTCCCAATCCCTCCTCGTGTCTCATACCCTGAATGTTCGTAAGTTTTGGGCAACCATAGGTTGTAGGACCTCGAAAATAAACCAATAACCAATGGACCGTGTTTTACGCAGATGGTGGTGGTGGTGGTGGTGGTGAGAGGGGTTTTACAGGTGGGTCAGTAGGCGCGCGGGATGGACAGTCGAAGTCAAGGAAAGGCAGGAAATATCTACATTGCCATCCTAAAACTTTACATGCGCCACCGCTTAGCAACAAGAGGTTAGCGCGGCAACTAAAAATAAACAAAGAGTAAGTTTTTGAAAATGATGGAGTTTGAATAAGCTGCCGACGGTAAGTTTACACCCACTCAGGGAGCCAAGGTGATTCCAGCCAATGGGAACGACGTACGACATTTAATTTTTCAACCCCCATTGCTTTTTAGTATACGCGTTTGACTTATCAGTAAACGATAGCGAACCCTAATCAGCCAATCTCTGAATGCAACACGAAGCTGGTGTAGTGTAAGTCCTCTCAATTACCGTTTTACCCCATTAATGTTACCTGATGAAAAGTGTAGACAGATGTTTAAGACGTAAAGTTACGGAAGCATGAACTGTGTAGTGGTAGCTGGCAATGTATACATGCAGCTATTGAAAAATCAAAATTAACTACGTGAAGACGCAGTGCAAATATGCAATAGGTATTGGAGAAGGGTATTTTTGAGTAATTATTCCCATAAAATTACAGATCATTAGCCGCAGCAAACAGGGAAACTAAACTGCACCCTTGCCGAGGTGCAAAAACTGAACTGGAAATTATTAATTCAGAGCAGATTGTGCAGTACCTCAGGCCAAGCGATTACTGCCAACTGTGCTAACCTTCCAATGCAGACACGAAATGCGGCTGCAAGTCCGGAAGCACAGCAAGGATGGCTCTGCGTTCGGGTGTGCACGATGCAGAGAGAGGAAAGCACTCAGAATTGGCTCGGTGTTTAAGAGGAGCCGGTTGGGAATGGGAACAATTATGAAGCTTTGGCTGGCACTTTTGCGGCGACTAAGTTCGAAGAGAATGTTGCAGTGTGCCACACGACGGCTGTCGAATGGTATGGAATTTGTCGGAACGTCTGCTCCGCGGCCCTCATAAGGAAAACCGGTCATGTTGAAGATACCGAAGTGGAAGTGCAAGTTGAAGAAGCGCTCATTAGCCGTCAAAAGTACAACGCCGTCGTGCCCAAAGTAACTGAATGTTAACATGAACAGTTTCTCGCCGCACTGTGAATGAATGTATATATAGTCCGTTCGAGCCAACTGCCTTCTCATACCTTTGACTTACGTCACGGTTGCATAAATGCCCCGTGCGGGGAAGTGTCTGCACCCGCCACTGTACATTAAGGTGGCCGGAAAAGTACGATCGCTTCTTGACTTTTAGCTTAATTCAAGTCAAGTAAATGCGGAGTGCGGGGTAGTATCCACACCCGCCTCGCTACTGGTAGGGAACAAAAGTATTACGGTCGCTTCTCAACTGCCTGAACCTAGGTCACAGTAGATAATGGCAAGGTAAAGAGTATCGCCTGTGAGGGGGAACGTAAGCAATACTATCGTATCTGAACTCTCTGAGCTAAGGGGATGAAAAGTAATGATAAATAGAGTCGCGACGGGCAACCCAAGCACTACGACCCTTTTAGCCGTCTTCTGGTTCACTCCCACGGCGCAGCTCTTTTCCGTGAGCTGTGTCACCCCTGGAATACTATTTCTTTTTAGGTGATGTGCAGTAATTTGCTTTGCCACAGTGCTTTTTTCCTCTGTGCCGAGCTTTCGTTAGTGCAGTCATATCATACTGTTTCGAGATTATCGTTTCCGCTCAGTTCTATAAATTGCAATAAACCTAATTTATCTTGTTTCAAAAGTGGCTTGAAAAGGAAACCATTGGAGAGACGACTTCATGCTTGGCAAGCCTGCTTCGCTGTGCCTCTGTCCAGGTTTTGGACTCCCCAACAACTGTCACTGGAAGTACACTATCAGTAGGATTGCTTTCTCCGGCTGGCTTCCCTGTGCTTTGTGCTCTTCGAGTTGCTGACTCATCAACGCAGTGTCCGCGTTGTCACCTCTGTTTGTCTTCGGGCAACGCCTCATTATGCCCACGTTGTCAGAAGACCCTCGCAACTCAGCGACTGACCACATAAATTCTCGGGCATTTGTCCAGCGCCATCCGTCTCACGTGCACCTGATTTTGTCAATTATGTACATGTTATGTGACTCGATTTTCTACTTAGACCTACCACATAAAATGAAGCTGTGAGTGCTACACTTTTCTCTTGCGATTCTGTCGTCTACGAATGTTCTGTCAACATCTCAGAATACAGCTTATTTATAACATAGATAATGGGCCTGCCCTTATGAACGTTTGCGCTTAGTAAGGGTTTTTGTGGCGGGAACTAAATCTCCCCCGAAGCATGTTATTTTTCTGTGAAGGACACACCGTGCGTATGATGAGACTAAGCACCTAATAGTCGTGTCTTTTCTATGTGCATTCGCGCGCTTGCTGCTCCACACTTGATGCTTTTCTAGATTTCAGCGGGTCGGAGTTCACACCCGTGTTGTTTCTCAATCTTCAAGCCCCAATGGGGGTGCCAGTAGATATGTATGAGTTAGAGCCATCAACAATTTCATAAGCAAATTTAGCTGAAATAGAAACGGCAGTATTGGGGCACTAATAAACTGTTAGTACAAGACGTAGTGATGACGGAGATCGGATGGCATTGTTGTGCTTAATTGTATACAAATCCGACTTCCTCGTAGAGGCTCTTACATATGTGGATATAGCGATGTACGAAGGCGGAGAATTCCAAGCTTCGACCACGCTGTTTGCGAAGGAGAGCTGTATATCCAGCATAACGTCAGTCACGCGTACTTTGAGTGGATGTCCTCACAAGTTCTGAGGTTCTTAACGGTCCTGTGTCCTCAGGCTTGAACGGCGAACTCCAGTTGCGGCCGTACAAACGCTTACATGACTTTAGCGAAACAGTCTTCATTAACGGTGGATAAATCCCAGTGACTTGGCCACCTTTGAGCGGTGCAAGGATGGTTCAAGTGAAGCCTGATCCATACACCTAGATACTTGTGGGAGTCCATTGCGTGCGATGATATCTCATTCAGGCGGTATGGCTTGCGCTTCGCAGGTCAGACTCCGCCGACTCGTAGACTGTTGCACTTGCTCATATTGAACGGCGAAACCCAGTCAATAGACCACTGATCGAGTCGGTTTTGGTTCACCTGCAAACGCTCTTCTTCGGCTTCGTTTTGGATGATGTCCCAAAGTTTGATATTATCAGCAACATGGCGACATCACAATCCAGTTAATTGGCACAGCCGTTGGAGTATGTAATAAACAGGGTAGCGCTAAGGTTGGAATCTTGGGGGGACGTCACTCGCAGCCGCAACTTAGGTCAACAGTTGCTCACAAACGCGAAGAACTTGGGGGGCGGATAACTAGGAAACTACGAAACCGCCTCTGGAGATTAATCCTGACGCCTACTCGGTTGAGTTTATACTGTAGTTGTTCATGTGGTATACTGCCGAATGCCCTCTTAAAGTCAACATAACATGCATGCACCCCATTCGCTATATCAACTGATCGAGACCAATGTTCTAAACGATAGAGCAAGTACGTCACGCATGACCTTACTCTACGGAATTCAAGTTGAACATCAGATGGTAAATTATGCTGCTTCAAGAAACACATTTACTCTTGGATTATGTTTCCATGGTTTTACAGCAGATCAAAGTATAGCTCATTGGTCCATAGTTGTTTGCAGAGACCTCACTACCGCCTTTAAGTTGCGGCGTGATGCAGAATAGGGTGTTGCTGGCACCCACATCCTCCAGCTTGCCCTGTTCAGAGGAGTCGCGTCTCGCCGAACGAAGCAATCTCTACCTTGTAGCGCGCCATTTCTCGAGTGACTAGAGCTGTCTTACGTCCCGGTCGGTTGCTTCTCGGATTTCCCAAGAAGGAACAACATTCCAGGCTAAGCGGGTAAGCAGACTCCCGCTGGCAGCCTCTGGAATGCGGCACGGGGTTAGGACGTAGGTAACTGTTAGTTGCTGTGTTCGTTTGGCCATGAGTTCCACAACTGTGTACCACAGCATGCCTGTGAATGGCGAATTTTCCCCTATTTTGTTAGGGCACCTTTCTAACCCCTTTCCCGGTGAGAGATAAGCAGTGTTGTCTTAAAATAGATTACTTTAAACATCCCAAACGGCCGTCAAACTCCGCTATGGATCAGAGTTTTGTTACACGGAGAGCAATCCAAGTTAGATTGGACCGCCTACGGGATTCGCGTCGTCCCCTCCCTGGAACATTTGGAATTGGGGATAGGAAGGGAGGATGGAGAGGGAAACAGAGCTGCTGGGTGTGGGGTTCACACGACACCGGATACCCTCATATGGCTCGACCTGCCGGTCAATACGGTTATAGGGGCGGGACCACTAGACGGATCCTAAATTCGGGACGCTGCAGATGCAAATTGGGTGACAGCTTAGGACCGTACGGTGAATTTGCCGCTGGCACGATGCTACCTAACGTTCTTACACGGTTTACTTCCTAAATGAGCGCACCTACATCCCACCCATTTGCATACATACGTGCAAGGAAAAAGTTCAAAATTCTTGAAAATCCTAAGTCATTTAGAGCCTTCGAGACCACTCAAACGGCTTAGTCGTTCCGCAGTATACCTCATGCGCTTCCGCAAAATTTCAAGTAACTCCTAACAAATAGGAGCATTGTTCACTTACTGACTTTTAAGAACCCATCTAAGTTCACCATATGCAATCTGATGTATTTGATGTATTCTTGATTGCGAAAATGCGTATACGCTCTCAGGCTTACGTCAATGGACTCCTAATGATCTTACGGTAGTATAACTATCTGCATCAACACTTGGTTTGAAAGAGGACCTGTTGAGATGAACTTCGCGTCCAAGATTTGATCTCAATCTTCTTAAGCCTACAACCAGGGATCAGTAAGGCGCAGCAAAAGTGAAAACGCCGCAAAAAGCTGTCGAAACGAGGACGAATCCTGCTTTAGATGCGCATATATTCGGATCTAAGTCAAAAAAACTTAAAAACGAACTTGAATATTTAAAAGTGTGTGGTGAGGTATCGGACTAATCTACCTTTCACAACTTAGTCCCGTTTTCTTTGCCCGGATTGCCGCTTTGAATGTGACAAAAAACCACACACATGGACAACCTGCCTTGCTGGCCTGCTTTGCATTCACGCCCTGTTTTCAGGTTGCTTAACGTTCAGAACCTCTATATTATTCACTGCTCAGTTTTACTTGCTGCCTTTAAGGCTAGGGCTCGTGAGATATAACTCGTTAGTTCGTGAGAACATTACCATTTACGTTATTGGTGACTCCAGGCATTATCGCAGACTTTATACCTTTCTATTTCATACTGAATAACATTCAACGTACTATGTGTTTGTGAATTTCTATTCCATTTACGTCTACTTTTCTCACGAATTCTGATATGTTACCATCTCTGTCTTAATTATCGTGTCTCAGTCCAACTAACAACTTGATGCTCCGCCCAGTCCCTTCATGCCATCAATTTTACCGTGCCTGGATTCTGGCAACAGGCTCCAGAAGTTTATTTCATCCACATCGAATCAGTCCTTTATTCTGCTAACGTTACCAAGGAGCTGACAAAATACCATAAACTTGTGAAGGTTCTCCCGGCTAGTGTTATCTCTCAAATTCAGTCCTTGCTATCTAATCCTCCTGCAGATGCTCCCTATTCCACGTTAAAGGTAGAACTTCTTCGACATAATTCTGTGTGCAACCAACAGTGGTATCACCAGTTACTTAAGGAGGAGTCACTGGATGACGGGAAGCTCTCAGAACTTCTACGTCAAATGCGTTCTCTCCTTGGAGGCATGCAAGTTGACGATAAATTCTTCAAGACGGTGTTTCTAGAACGTCTGCCTGCTCATATTCAAACGATCCTGGCGTCCGGTTTTCAAGATCTAACGGTCTCACAGCTGGCTGAAATGGCATATGGAATGATGGAGGTGCAGCGGTTCCAGTCGCATTCCATTGCCCAGATCTCCACATCCTCATCGACAGTGAATGAGCATTTAATGAAGCAGGTGTCGGTCATGGCGGATGAGATGGCCTTCCTTAAACTACAGCTCGCACGCCTTACTTCCAGCCGCTTACGCAGCCCTCGTCGTTCTCGTTCGCGACCTCGGTCTGCCGACACTTGTGGGTATCACACTAATTTCGGCGTAAAGGCCCGTCGCTGTTCCTCACCCTGCTCTTTTAAGCCGAAACAGGGAAACCAGTCAGCTAGAGAATAGACGCGACCGTTTTCTCTGGTTCTATTGACCTTGTCAATGTCATGGAGCACAGTTCAATTTCAAAGATAAGCGAAGCCGTGCCGATAGTCTGATACTCTTAAGCAATTTATGCCTATTTTTTAATTGAGTCCTTTACAGAAATAGGTCTTCAAAACCGGGTATAATTTTTTCCCGTCTTGTTAGATAGTCTGGCAAAGTAGTCGTTTTTTGTGAAGTGCCTTTTTAATTATTCCGTGTCTGACCATCTCTTTTTAATTTTCGTAATAAACTATCGGAATTATTTGCTATTCTTCGCGTTTTTCTGTACATTAGCAACGTTTCCATCCTTGTACTGTAACGAAAAAATTTTTTTGTCCGTAGGTAATTCGACTACTCTTGATGCTGAGAACTTTAAACCCATTAGCACGCCTGGCATAAACACGCCTCTACCGAATCCCCCAGCAACCCCTAGTAAGCCTAAGCATGTGTCTAAGTCAAGGGCAAATCCAATTGCTGTCTTAGCCACTCGGACATCCGACAAATCCAGCACCATTATAAAATCTTTTCCTCCACAATCGGCTAACAGTGCCTCAAATACCTCGACTCAAAACGTAGCGTGTTCCCAACTGCCCCGCAGCCATCATATCGAGGCAGTTAGGCCGAATATGCCGATTTTCCCGCCGTTTAATAGAACTCTTGCTCCAATGGAAGCAATGCGTCCCCCACCCCCTAACTTGTTTTCTCTACGGCCGTTTTACCAATGTATTCCTCATGCTAATGTCTATACTGGATCAGCTAACTCATTCGATCCTCAATTTCGTTCCGGCGGGAATGTGTTGCAGTATCT